GGATGTGAATTTTATATGCAAGATATCCATGTATATTATTTTATTTACCAACGAATATCATTAGTACCCATAATAACATAACCTTTTATCCTTCATATATATGCATTTAAATAATGATTGATAAATATTGAGAACAGCGATCACATTAATCCATTATAAATTCGTGAAGATAAGCAATAAAAATAAAAAGTTGTGAAAGTAGACATAAACTTTATCAATTCAGTGCTGCATTAATGATTACAGCAGTTGTAGTAATTTTGGTTCTTGCAAAGGAGATTTTGGATTAGAAATGACCAAACCAAAGCAAAATGCACTCTGAGAAAGTAATCGTCTATGGAATAAGCGATCAGACGGACAAGTAAAAGATTTGTTAATCTAGGTGCATTTCCCTTTCATGTAAGCCGATTCTCGATAATACCCTTACGGTTCAATGCTTCTTCCTCATATCTTTATGTTGCAGTGAGTGCTAACAAAAAAAATTTTCCCCTGTCTTTTTACTCTTGCACAGGTCGTATTAATTTTGATCAAATATATGCAATTCGTTTTTTGGATTTGTCAGCTAACCTTTAAAAGTAATATTTCAGCGTTTAGATCCGTTCAAAAAAACAGTTTACTTATACATGAAATTTATCTGCCAATGCCAAATTCGAATGAAAAATAAAAATAACTTGAGTAAATTATTTCTGTAATCCAATGAAACACGCATGACAGAAGCATCATATTATGCTTGCTAATAAACAAACCCTGTAGTTAATTGCAGATTCTGGCGATCAGTCGCCAATTAGTAATTCTAACTAAGAATAATGAAAATAAAACTATCTTCTGTGTGAGAATATGCTATAATAATGAATAATACTGAAATATCTTGCACAATATATTACATCTGAAATAAAATGGTCTCCAACAAACTCTTGATTCACAAAATTATTTTCAAATTATGTATTCATTAGGTAATATAAAATTCTTGAAATGATTTATATAAAGGAATGTATGGTATTAAATATACTATGTATTTTGTTATTAATTTTTTGTTTTCTTTCTTTATTTTCAGTTCGTACTTGAAATAATTTGTTAGCATCACTAACTCCCGAAAATGGAGAACCAACAATATGAATAATACTTTCATTAACGCAAAAGTAAAAGGCCACTTAAAATACTTCATTTCAGTTATTGTGTAGAATATATTTTTTAAATTTTTGATAATGTTTTGCATCCTATTTGAGGTGAAAAATTTCATCCATTACTTAAAGTGAAACTAGTATTTATCACCAGCTCAACTATTTGGTGATAATGACATACGATTTTAGGTAACCGGTATTCAGAAAACCTAATAAAGGAACAATTAGGTCGTCACCTTGTCATGGTCTTTACAATATCACAATATTTAATATCTTCGACCTGTGACACTTTCACTTTCATAATAGTTATGTACAGATCGATCAGTCAAATTAGTCATTTATGTTTGCAAAGACTTGGAAGCATACGTTCCGTATATACTTTGACGCTCTATATTACTATACAGAACTTGTGTTTAGCTAAAGAAAATTTGGTATGTCAACCTTTTGGTTTTTCGTTTTAACGTCATCATTTGTGATATCAGCCAGTGGACAACAACACAAAAGGAATTTAAACAATTTTTATTGGCCACGATGGGGTTTATTTTATGAAAAACTTATGTAGCTATAAATATATCTTCAATGAAGAATGAATATATAATGTCACTGATTCTTTCAATGATGCTTCACAATAAATTAATTGAAATGCGAGTTTGACATCAGTTCGGTACTTCAGTAAATCTCTTTGCTCATTCAAAATTTTAATTATTTTTGTATCAAATATTCTTATTTCTACAGTGTTACAAGACTTAGTGCAAAATATAATACAATTATTTCACCTGTGTACTTTTCAAATATGTATTACGAAAAAAGAAATAACAGTCTTTAATAAAATCTGAGTTTAAGAATTCAAAAATTGTTTAGGTATTGAAAATATTACATTAGTAGGTGACTTTTTAATAAGGTTATGCTTTATTAGAAGAACGAACAATCGATTGTACGACGACAAACAAGGAGAGACTCCACCAATGTCGGCTGATTGCGAGAAATGCCAAGACGCCTCGGGATCCCCGTAAATATATATGTCGACAGGAGGAAATGCCTGTAAACAGTTGGAATACACTAGCCCGGAACTCCACAACAAGACTTGCATGTCCTATCGGCTGCGAACCGGATGCTAAACTTTCCGTAATTTTTTTTTTGTATTCCTTGATTATATCAATTTGACTTCATATTTTATAATTTAAACTCACACAATCTTATTTGCATATTTTATTATAACGCAGTTTTTGAGCTTACTGGTCTGCCACACACTTGTGAATGTATATCAGTTAGTAGCCAGAAATCTCTTGAGATAATGTTTTGCAACTGACCACTTATGTTTTCCATTGCACTACAACACCTTGTGCTGTATTTAAATATCAGCCAAGTTGTAATCTTAGTTGGTATTTAAATGCAGTACAAGATATACATGTATTCTATCTACCAAACTTTTTTTAGAGAAGTCGAAAGTGAAAGAATGACATTGTGAAGAAAAAAACATAATTTTAAAAATGATCGAAAAATTATGCATAGAATCGGCTAAGCAAATAATCCAAGCAAGTAAAACTAAGCAAAAAAAAAATTAATAATTCCGTATGAGTAATTAACGCATCTCATGAGTAACGAGAATTTTCTTACATTTTGAAAATCAGAATATAGAAGTTAGTAAAGTTTCCAATCCTGAAAGCAATTAATACTTTGTAGGTTTTGGTAAAGTCACCTCAGAACAACCCTCTATGCCAAAAATATTATACATACGGCAAATACCGTGATCATAAAGAAGGTGACTGGTATCTTTGGCTAGCTGAACCATGCCGAGCAAATATTACAACTTGGTGTCGTTTCAATGATATTCCATTAATTACTTCAAAATTGCAGAATTAGTTTGTTAATTAGTTCTCATAATATTCTTAAAATCTACCCAAAACTAGTATTCTATTCTTACTTCAATCAATAAAAATCAGATTAATTTCTATTACTTTTAATTTTTTCAGTGCACAGTGCGTGGCATTAATTGCATGCCAGTAATATTTAGTATCCAAATGTCTTTTTTTCTCTTCAACAAGGCAAATAATTATTATTCTAGTGATTCTAATGATATTTTAAAAAAAAAACTGATTTTAAGTACAAAAAAATATCTTTCGGAAACACATGGACACCAAAGTACATTATAGCAGAAAAGTACTCCATGAGCTCTTCAAAATTCGACCGCTTTTTAACTTTTGTTGGAAATATACTATAACCATAGTCAAAGTTTCTAAATAGCTGAATAATGAATACAACTGCAGTAAAAAATATTTAAAAACGAATCATGTTAATAAACAGTAATAGTTATCCAATTATTGCTACAAAAAAAAACATAAGAGAAAACATCAATGTATTTCATGCTTCCATATATTTTTAATAGTACACTGCTATAAAATAAAACGATAGAAATCCAATCTAAAATCTTAAAGACTGCGGCATAATTTAGTTAAGACTGCAATATAATCGATTAAATTAGTTTTGATAGCATTACACTGCTTTTTACTCTGTTTTCCTAAGAGATCAAAACTACTAAAGTAATAAAAAGGATTGATTATCGTCAAAAATTGGTTATCATAGCAGATTTTAAAATGATTGTTGATTGCAGCCAATTTAAAATGTGTTGTAGCCACTTGAAGGAAGCATCGTTAGCAAGTGAAGCGTTAATTTCAAGCTTGATTTTGCTCAAAATTACCGTTGGGAGCGCCAATCAGCATAAGTTATGTCTCATCCGAGTTGTTGACAATTCTAAGCTAAAATGCAGCCACTCGTCTCAAATACCATTACATAACACTTCTAAATCCATTACTCGATGATTCTTTTGTTAACAAGTGATATTTCAGCAGTGTATTAATTTCAGCTACAAAGAAAAAGTAAATTGACAAATTTATTTTATTTTTCATTGCGAGAAATCTGAAATATTGAGTTTAAAAATAGTTCATATATTGGTGTGTTGGCTGCCTTTTTGAGTATCACAGTTGTTCCCAGTTGAGAGCGCATTTTTTTCCATTTCACCCTTTTTCCATTTTGTTCGTCGATTTTGAAACCAGATTTTTACCTGAGTAGAAAAACATGAATACTGAAGCATAAATTGTGGAAAGAAATAAAAAGCATTGTGCATAGTGAAAGAAAAAATTTATTGTCACCAATTATAATTGATATGCTGCACAAAATATCAGAAACCATTTATGTCTTGATGGTGCATGCAAACGATTTGTAGAGATAAAATATTTAGAAATTTGCCAATGATCTGATGAATTTAACATTGCTATTTCATTAGCATGGAATGTTTCATTTGTAGATGAAGTATTTACCACATTTGGTAATTTGTAAGTGAAGCAAATAAAGAAGAGTCAAACTTAAGTAGAACTCATTATTTAAAATCCAAAATTTTTTTTCCTGTAAAATAATTTAATATTGACAACGATAGTCAAATAATATCAGTGGATAATGAGAGAAAATAAGTTTTTGGAAATAAATAAAACCATTAAAAGTATGGATTCTAAAAATATTATTCATTTTATTTTAAGAAAATTCAGCAAAAGTAAATACCTGTGTCTCGGTGACACAAAGAACTTTAGCAAGTTCAACACGTTCGCTTGACGATAAGTATTTTTTCTTTTCAAACTGCTTCTCAAGTTCAAGAATTTGACCACCAGAAAATGTTGTTCTTGCTTTCTTTTTCTTTTTGGGCTTGTTGTAGTTAATTTGTGACTGAATAGCTTTTGAACTAGTTCCAGTACATTCATAAGCTTCTAAAAAATGCAGTTTTATAACAAAAAACAGCGAAATTATAGAATTAAGTTCGTTAATTAATAAGCACGATTCTGCTAAAGATGTATGAATCTGAAGTAGAAAATGAAAATAACATGCCTTCATAGTGAACATGTGGTATAGAAGAATTAAGAGACAAAATATCTCGAATTGAGTAAGAACTTGGAGGCTTTCGAATTGGAGCTGCAATGAAAGTTGATGGCCATAAGGGTGGTTGCTGCAATAAAGAGAGCAGGTAAGGAGATACAACTGGTAAAGTAAGTGCTGGCTGTGGATGTATTGCTGTTGGTGGTGGCGAGGAAGAGGATGATGACATGAGTAGGACAGGGCTAAGCCTGAGCACTTGAGTATGACAAGAGCTACGAACTGACCAATGATTATTTGTGCAAGTATCAAATGGTTTGATGTAATTGAGCCATGTGAAACCTACTCAATCAGGCAACTTGGGCAGTACTAACAGATCTCTTTTAATCACTTGCCATTCATGAAAGCAAAAATTTCAGAATTTACACATATTTAGCACATATAGTGCATAATAGTTATA